CACACACACACACAGAGCACTATGAGAGTTCATAGTAATTAGCATTGGGGTTTCCTTGTAAAAGAGGACTTGTACACATACTCTGTCATTAGTTAATGGGCCTTGCAGCCTGTTACCAGGGCTTACTCTCCCTCCCTGCTGCTCCCAGAGGGGCTGAGAGGTGAAGTGAGAATGAGCCGGGGCTCCTGCTATCAGTCACCCATACAGCATTAAATACAGCCTGAGTAAGGAGGGCCCATATGTCTCTGGGCATTACTCAATTAAAAGCTGCAGCTTTTAAGAAATTGAGCTGTTCGCAGTGGGTCAGGAGAGTTTCCTGAAAAATCAGCTTATGTTCTGCTCTCTCTGCTGGTAGAGGACAGAACGGGCCACTTGTTAGGGAGAGGTCTCTGTGTCATGGTAACAGAGAACCCAATAAAAAGACCTGAACATGACACAGCAGCTTCAGACTAAGCCTTGAGTGTTACCCAGAGCAGTAGTCGTGTATTTAAAGGGATAATTGGAAATGCTTCTTATGCAGTCATGGATGCATTTTGATGGCTCTGCTTGCAGTTTAAAGGCATGAATGGCGAAATTAGCCTAGATAAACTCAATTACCGGGATCAGCAGCAGCTTTTCTCAAAGGTATGGAAGTACACCTTTAAACATCTCCGACGAGGGATGGCATGTCTAAGTAAACTGTGATGTAATTTCCATATTTAAACAGACACAATTGTTGTTATTAACAAAGAAACAAAATACCAGATGTAGCCCACTGATTCCTCTTCACAGCCTCCTACAGGCAGGTTTCAAACTACAGTGTTATCGTTTGTGTTATTTTGTATGTAATCAGGATGAAAACATTGTCAATATTAGACCAACAAACCCAAAAAGGCGCCCTCAGGCAACACTGCCAGTTCCCGATAAGCCTGATGTTACACGCAGAAGCTATGTCTCTCTACTTTCTTACTCAACTGTAAACTGTCAGGTCAACGCATTATCAAATAGCACTGACGTTCTGCAGAGCTGCTACTCAATCCCCCAGATATCCAGTGTTTGGGCAAAGCTAGGCTAAGCTCGCCATTTAATATTCATACTACATGCAGAGTTCATTTCGCTGTGTGTGAGGAGGAAAAACCAGAACCATTTTCTGTCTTTAACCTCACCTGTTGCACAATTTGCTCCTCAGGAAGCAAAGTCATTATTTTAGGATGTTGTAAGTCAATATTGTGATAGAAACTGTCAGCACTTTGGTTTACAATGATTCAACTTGGCATCATGTATCATGTAAAGCTTAGTTCATCTGCTTTTTTTCTACTTTCTGCATAGTTTTAATAAACACTCTGGACCTGTTCTATGACTGTGGAAGCCACTGATGCAAAGATAGAGGGTAGATAGAGGAAATAAGTTTTTAACAGAAAGCTTTTAAGTAGTTTGGCTTGGCTCATCTCCACTCACTCAGCTCCAGCTATTAGAGCCCTCAGTAGCAAGTGTGTGGTTCAACTATGTGGATTGAGTGTAAATGAAATGGGAATAGTAAAAACAAGACAGACTTTGTCTTTATATTCTCATGTTGTTTGTTGGCTGTGCTCTTGGCATCAGATCCTCTTGTACTCTATCAGCGAAGTTAACAAAACACCTTAATTAATAATAGCTTAGACAGATGGTTCACAATGGAACTTAAACTTGTCAACAGAAAATGTAAAAAATGACTGAGAGGAATGTGGGTGTGGGCAGTATGGACAACGGCATTTAATGCCGAGTAAAGAGCGTGTGGTAGTTGTGGGTGTGTGATGGTGTTGGCAGGGGGTTTTAACACAGGCTGACTGTGAGGTGAAAACAAGGTCATGTACACTGCACTAAGCTTGCTAAAATATGCATGTCCCTCCGAGCGGACCCTCACTCTATTATGACTGACTTCTGGCCTTGGCCGCTTGTTAGATTTGGTCGCTCTTAGCCACACTGATATGATAAGTCACCACCGCTCTCTTTTCTCCTCTGCGTCTCTATAGCTCTCTCTCACTCTTAGAGCGACTCCATCACTTGTGCTTGAAGCTGATCTTTAGGTCTAAATGGTGGGTTGCCAGTTGAAGAGACAGTCCCTCGGTGTGGAGGTGGTGATTTAGTGGGGAGATAAGCTCTCTGTAATGGCAGGGTGGAATAATTCCTCTTTAACTAGGAGGCTTGGCTCTCTCCACCCTCCAGAAGAAAATGTTACTGCTCCTCCGCTTTGTTCTTCATTCCTTTCCTCTCTTTTTTTGTTCTTCCCCTCTCCTCTCCCTTTTTTGTTTGTCTTTGTAAATAGTATCTTGTCGGATCAGATATACATTATTAGCTCAAGCAATATAGGTTTGGTGTATCGTAAGGTTACAGATGGCGCAACTCACTATAGACTGCTAAAAAAAATCAATTGCTTAATATCTTTCCATTTACCACAATGTTTTTTTTTTTTTAATTTCATTTAGAAGACATTTGTGTGTTTGTGGCCTTCACAGTGCCAAGCCAATCATCTTTCTTCAGGGTACCAACATTTTCAAAAACTCTACATTCTTGAAACCCCAACCCTGGTAACAGCACTTCCTGAAAGCTGGTGTATCTGGGTCTACAAGGCTAAAAATAGCATCTTAAATTATTTAATTAGGTACTGAACACAGTAATCTTTCCTTTGTTTGTTTGTCAAGACAACTTTCTACAATCAAGTTGCAGCGTGTTTAAATAAGCCACACAAGACTGATGATTGATTCAAGAAAGACAAGTTGATTGGCATTGGCGAAAATAAAATAAAATTGGCACATCATTGGCACGACAAAATAAAATATCTCAACTCTTGTCCTCATGAGGAGGATAAGAATGCTGCACAGTATGATTAGTCCTTAGAGATTTGCGAGGACATGGAAAATGTGGAGAAGAACCGCGTTGTGGTGATGAAGAAAGTGGAGGAGAGTAAAGATATCACCATTTCTCCCTTCCTACATAGATCATATCCGTAACCCCGATCACTCTGTCTCTGTCTGGCTCCCACGCTCCATTTCAGCCTCTCCCTCTCTGTGGCAGAAAAACTGGGAGGTCCTTGGTGCTGTACAACGATTTCAGTTTATATTTTACTGTGCAGGTAGAGATGGTGTGATGTAACTGTTGTGAAATCCACACAGGCAAATAATCGATGTAGGTTCATTGAGTTAGGCTGCCCCCTGGAGGCTTTAGCGATCCAGGCTCTGGACACAAGCATGCAATTTAGTATACGGCACTGATCTAAATCTATTCATTTGAGGTTGACAAAGTATAAGTGTAGTCTAAGAAGAAAATGTTTTTTTTCCCATTTGATCATTCACACATAGAACCTTAAACATGCACTTGAAGCTGCATGAATACACAGCGCAGACCCATGCAGACATACGTGTGTGTATGTGTGTTTGAGCGCCGAGGAGAGACTAACGCATGTGCATATGTGTGTGTCTGTGTGTTTTTCTCCTTGCAGCCCTGCTGTCGTCGTGGTGCGAGGAGCTGGGTCGTCTCCTCCTGCTGCGTCACCAGAAGAACAGGCAGAACGAACCGCAGGGAAAAGTCCCCATGCAGCCCAGCATGAACAGCATGAAGCCCGGCCTCACACACAGGTCAGTGGGGAGTCTCTGACACATCTCCTGTCAGATGAAGGAAGACTGTGCTTATCTTGCAGTAAACCCCAGATTTTCAGTTCAAGGGTACTGTTTTTCTACCTTACCAGCAAATTGAAGCTTTTTTTGTCCCGGGTTCACCATATAACCAAAAAAGGAGCAAAAAAGATTAGTATGAAGGCCAAATTAAACTATGCACCATGAAATCAGCGAAGGGCAGCTGTGAACTGGAAGATATGAGTCACTTGCATTTAAATAACTTCAATGTAGAATACCTCAGATACATCCAATACTAGTTTTATGATTATTTTCACAACACAAATCAGTGATTTGCTCACACAGACCCACCGCACACACCAACATCAGCTCCAGCCTACATCCGTCCCACGCATACATAATATCCAAAGGAAAAAAACCTTGACATTGTACTAGTTTATTTAATACCACCAGCTATAGATACTTAGAGTGAGACATGGTTGCCCTCTGTCACCTGTCTGTTGGAGAAGCCAACAGTGGGGTTAACTCAGTCAATCTGACTTAAGCCCTTTGATAGACATTAATACAAAATCACATTGCAAACAGACAGCTGACATGCAACTTTTTTATTCAGCAACACAAACTTCTTGACTTAAAAACCCACATATATAGTGTTAATAAAGATTTTCTCAACTGTGTTTTTTTTTTTTTTTTTGCCATAGTTTTCAATGTTTTAATTTTGGATCTCAACAAGCTACAGCCTACAGAAGAGTTCCTCTATGTGTCCAGTCACTCTGCTTTTAGATTCAAACATATGCATTCTACCAAAAATGCTACATAGTGTTACAATGCAGGCATTTTTATTTTATTGTGAGAAATAGCATCACACAACAGGTGATTAAACAGAGGTTAACGCAACATGTATACAATGACAATAACAGTCACTAAAGCACAACAAATTTAATGAAGTATTTGTTGGTGGTGTGAGTTTTGATGAGTGATGTGGGTAAGTGGGTATGTAGGGAGGTGTATGTATCAAGGAAGATGTAGAAAAAGAGAGATATAAACAAAAGAAATAGAGAAAGAAAAGAAAATTGTATGGTTGCATGTAATTAAAGATTTAAAATTTTCTGTGACAGACTAAGTGGTAGAGGTACCAAAACTGAAAAGTACCTGCCATTATTTTCACAGGAGTTTTTCAAGGTAGCTTTTGATGTCCCCTTTCTCTGCCTTTTTCCTTAGATTTTTAGATGCATTCTCTTAAATTATACCACCAAACTAATTCAGTAACCATTACTAAGGTTCGCTTTAGTATCTTTAAGAGACAGCGTTCAGTACTGGCTCTGGTCTTTATTAAGGTATTATCTTGCATTCAGTGCTCACCTAATGCACACACACCAATGCACACAAGATTCCCATTGTTTGGAGTAGAGCCAGAATTACTTCGAGTGGAGCCGAAGTGATTTGGGGTGGAGTGACAAACCGGCAGGGAAGAGAGCTGTGAAGTAATGTCTTTGGAGAACATTGTGTGCTCATGTCTCTCTCTCCCTCTCTCTCTCTCTCTCTCTCTCTCTCTAAGAAAGCCTCTAGTTAGCCAAGAGTCCTGTTTGCCTCTGCTGAGGATCTTGGGATAATGTTGTGCCTTTATGAGGAAATATTGAACACGTCGTCCATTCCAAGAGCTAACCTCTGAGCAAAAACAAGCTGCTCTCCAAAAACAGCAGTTCCTTCCCACTCCACTGGCCACTTGCCTCTCCCCATGAGGATTAAGCTTGTTTATTATATGTAACAGACTCTCATATTTTGCCCTGATATTTGTTTTAAATCTGAATGTTAAACATTCCAACTGCTCCCTACCTATCCATATCCAAAGGCATTTCAACAACTCAAAGAAATAATTGAATCATATTTAGTTTTTAGTGGTGTGTGTGTGAGCATGCAACCCCTTGTCAGCTCATTTGGAGCTTTTTACTCATCTCACTGTGCAGCCATTAGCACATGTCCTGGCTGAAAACGTGTTTTGAAATTGAATGCCAAATCCTTCAAATTGCCTAACATTTTGGCAAGAAGAATTCCCAAATTATTCACATTTTTGGACGGATATTCAACTCTGTTGGCTTTCTATTGGTACTTTTCTTGGCCAACTGAAACTTCAAGTGACATCAGGCACATGTTTTGTTTTGATCTACTTTCCAGTGATGGATCATTTCCCTATGACTCTGTCCCCTGGCAACAAAACACCAACCAGCCCCCTGGGTCATTGTCTGTGGTTACAACAGTGTGGGGTGTGACCAATACGTCACAGAGTCAGGTATGTCTATGCATGAACAGCATCCAGTCTGTCATTATATAAGCTCTACACACAATCAATACTTGACTCAGAAGGTTGATCTCCTTTGTTTCATTTACAAACCTAATGGATATGTTATCTCCCTGTGTCACGCTTTATTAAACCCAGGTGCTAGGTAACCCAATGGCAAATAGCAATAACCCCATGAATCCTGGAGGTAACCCTATGGGATCAGGTATGTCTGCCAGTGCAGCAGGGATCAACTCACCCCAGTTCAATGCTCAGCAGCAACAGTTTCCAAACAAGGGAGGCTCCAACCAACAGTACATGCAGCAGGGCATGTACGGCAGGCCTGGCTACCCTGGAGGTCCTGGGGGATACAGCGGAAGGTAAGAGAGCGACTCTCTTTAAAAAAGAATGAAGCAATAAAATGTAACATAATGATTAAAACATGTGCTCTGTGTTTTTTTTTTTTTTTAGTTATTCTGGAGGCCCAAATGCCCCTCCAGGAGGTATGGGAATGACCTCCCACTCACGTCCCCCTGGTGACTTCACCCAGCCAGCCGCCGCTGCTGCAGCTGCTGCTGTCGCTGCTGCTGCTGCTACAGCAACGGCCACGGCAACGGCCACGGTGGCAGCTCTGCAGGAAACCCAGAATAAAGATATGAACCAGTATGGACAGGTACAGTACACACCTGCTAACAGATGTTTACAGCTGTAACCACTTACCAAAATAGATAAACAAATATACACAGGAACCTATTACCCACCCACCTGCTGGAAATCCAAAATAATCATATTTAACACTAAATCCTTCTGTTCTCCAGATGTGTTCATCGTTCCAAATGGGCCCCGCTCAGGCCTACAATAGCCAGTTCATGAACCAGCCTGGCCCACGAGGCCCCCCTGGAGGTATGAATCCAGCCAGCATGGGATCAGCCATGAACAACCCTAATATGAGTGGGCCTCCCATGGGCATGAACCAGGCTCGAACCCCAGGCATGGGGCCTTTTGGAGCTCACGGCCAAAGGATGCCTCAGCAAGGGTACCCTGGTGGACCTCGACAGGGCATACCGATGCAAGGGATGAAAAGGCCATATCCTGGAGAGGTGAGCGGAAACATCCAATAATTAAACCAATCTGGAGATTATGGGTTACACGGTTTTATTTCCTTTATTTAAAGTCTAGACCAGACCACTTTGTATCTCTCTTACTTTTCACATCTTTCATGTAAGTTTTTCCTCTTTCCGTTTGCTATGCTTACTTTCATCTACTACAGATCAATATGTGCATCAAAATACGCTTTTTGATGTGACTGAGTAAGATTCATGCCAGTGATATCATCCACATGAGCCGGAGTTCCATAAAAACTGATCTGTTCTGTTTGATGAGTCAGTTTCCCACAACAACTTGTAGAATGTCAGATCTTTCCTGTGCAGTTGACACACCTGTAGTCATCACACAGCAGCAGGAGTGATACGTGTGTTTCATCTCTGATTTGAGAGAGCTGCTGTGGAACTGACGGTAAATGATGTGCTGAGGTTTCTGAACATCAGACCAGAAAGCTATGACTTACACATTCCAGGTTTAAAAGTAAAATCCAAACCGAAATCCGAGGTTTATTACAGTTTTCCATTTTGCCACTTATTCGCATAAAAGTGTATAGCAGATGCTGCACCAGAATACCTCAGCTGCCTGTTCATTCTACCATTGACAGCATATCTGTTGAGATTTATATTCATTTTTGTTTTGTATTTTTTATTATAGAACTTTAGGTGTTTTATAACTAGACCTCAACCTCTCCCTCTGTTTCATCGTTTAAAGTCTTCATCTTTAACCCTCTTTCCACAGGCAAGTTACGGGGGTCAGCAGTACGGGCCAAACAGTCAGTTCCCACCACAGCAGGGCCAGTACCCCACATCGAATGCCTCCAGGCCGCTGCCATCTCCTAACTACCCCGGCCAGAGGATGCCAGGGCAGCAGGGCCAAGGACAGTACCCACCTGGCATGCCCATGGGCCAGTACTACAAGGTCTGTTATGCCACACCATTCATACATATCTCAATTTTCTACAACAACTTACTGCGACATAGGGGAAGAAGGGGGAGCAAAGCCTATCCCAGCATGCACTAGACATGGACAGACAGATTACAAGTTATATTTATAGCACATTCAACAAACTACATGGTGTATGCCTGGTGCTATTGCTATCAAGAACTATATAAAAAATTATTATTTCTTTTTATTTCCTTTACAGCAAGAGCCCTTCAATGGTCAGAGCACCAACTTCTCTGGAGGTGGATACTCCTACGGCCAAGGCAATGGGGTATGTTTTCAGAAGGACCTTTGTGGTAAATTTGACCCAGTCATGTATGTTAAATGAGTTACACAGATGTTTTCATTATTATACTTTCCTGGCTTTTACAGCCCCCCAGGCCCGGTACCTACCCCCACTCCCCGGTCCCTGGAAACCCCACACCTCCTATGACCCCGGGAAGTGGTATTCCTCCGTACCTGTCGCCAAACCAGGATGTGAAGCCCCCGTTTCCACCTGACATGAAACCAAATATGACAGCGCTACCGCCCCCTCCGAGTGAGTACCCCAGCTTTTTTATTTAATCTAATGCATTGCAGGACTTTATCAGTTTTAGATTAAAAGTCGACCCCCATTGCTTTTCTTCTCAGCTAACCCCAATGAGGAGCTGCGGCTGACGTTCCCTGTCAGAGATGGAGTGGTGCTGGAGCCGTTTCGCTTGGAGCACAACCTGGCTGTCAGTAACCACGTCTTCCACCTGCGACCCTCCGTCCACCAGACCCTAATGTGGAGGTAGCACCACCGCACAAGCCCCCACTTCCACTATGTTTGCATACAGTCTGCACCACAATTGTAACATAATTATGAAACGTGGCATGTTTGTCATAAATTTTATATAGAGGGAATTACTCTGACTAAATTTTAGTTTTTTTCCTGTCTGCTTTTATATAATAATTTTATGTAAACTGTTGAAAATACATATTAAATCACACATCTTTAACGTAACATGCTATTATTTACTGTATTACAGTAAGAGATTGAGATTGTTTTAAGCTGAATGCTCACAGAATCTGCACTTTGTTACACAGGTCAGACCTTGAGCTGCAGTTTAAGTGCTACCACCACGAAGACAGGCAGATGAACACCAACTGGCCAGCCTCCGTCCAGGTCAGCGTGAATGCTACGCCCCTCACCATCGAGAGGGGGGACAACAAAACTTCCCACAAACCGCTGCACCTGAAGCATGTATGCCAACCTGGAAGAAACACCATCCAGATTACAGTCACCGCCTGCTGTTGTGTGAGTAGACACATATTTCTAACTACAAACAGTACAGAAATGCAATTCTTTTTTCAGCAAAAAGATCAGCTGGGATGATTATCACACAGATAATTTAACTTAGTATATGCGTTGTGCTAAATCGGCTTTCCGTTTATCTTCTGTTTGTTTTAATGTTCTTGTGTTGCTTTGCAGTCCCACCTGTTTGTGCTGCAGCTGGTCCACAGGCCATCTGTGCGATCCGTCCTCCAGGGGCTCCTGAAGAAAAGGCTCCTTCCTGCAGAACACTGCATCACCAAGAGTATGGCTCATTTTGTCTCTTAGTGTAGTTATGCATAAGTACATCTTAATTACACAAGCTTACACCTGTTTCTCCTTATGGTTTGCTTTAAAATGGGCCTTTAAGTACTCTTGCAACTGTTCACAAAGTAATACCTTTCCTCTGAAACGCCTTGTCCCTTCAGTTAAGAGGAACTTCAGCAGTGTGGCGGCCTCTGCAGGCAACACCACTCTTAACGGGGAAGACGGCGTGGAGCAGACGGCCATTAAAGTGTCGCTGAAATGTCCCATTACCTTCCGACGCATCCAGCTACCTGCACGAGGTCATGACTGCAAACATGTCCAGGTTTGTTCCGATTTAAAGAGGTGGTAAAACTTTATTGTTAATGTCACATGTCCCTGTGAATGGCAGAAGATTTTTCTAATGAACTGTGATATTGTTCTCCACAGTGCTTCGATCTAGAGTCGTACTTACAGCTCAATTGTGAAAGGGGGACATGGAGGTGTCCTGTGTGCAAGTAAGTAAAAAGTTGTTTGTTTTACGGAGACGTAAGGTTTAGATCACTCATCAAAAATACGTCTAATAGATTGAATCTAATGATTTTTTTCTCCTTTCAGTAAAACAGCATTATTAGAAGGTCTGGAGGTGGACCAGTACATGTGGGGAATCCTCAATGCCATTCAAAAGTAAGTAGTTTTTTCTTCTTTCTTCTGCTAAATCCACAAATAACTTTGTTTCAAATCCATTGTTTCAAAATTAAACACACTTTCTTTCTACTTTAATAGTTCAGAGTTTGAGGAGGTCACTATAGACCCTACGTGTAGCTGGAGACCTGTCCCCATTAAGTCTGAGGTACACATCAAAGAAGACCCTGACGGACCACTTGCCAAGCGCTTTAAGACCATGAGCCCCAGTCAGATGACCATGCCCAATGTGATGGACATGATCGCCCAGCTAGGGCCTGGACCTGGCCCAGGACCTGGACCTGGCCATGGAGCAGGTCCCAGCCCCTACCCCCCACACCCTAGTCACCATGCTAGTGGCAACGGGGGAGATTACCCTGGGGCAGGTAAGGAAAAGCAGCCAGGATCCAGAACAGGATAGTCAGCTTAGTTGTTTAAAAGTGAGCTGTTTTTCATTTTATAGCAGGAACTACTGAAGTGTCTCTAGTGCATAAAACAAAGAAACAGCCCCAAGCAGAGCTTTTTGCTGAACCTGTTTTAAAATGTTCTAAGCTCATTGAGTAGAATGTGTATATCTTGTTATTTAACCACTTTGAAAAGATAACTTTTTGCATCAGTAAGGACACATCAGACAAGTTAACAAGGCCAGACTGCTGTTAGCCTCTGGACAAAAACGTGTTTCATTCTTTTGTCCTTCAAGGAAACAGTTACCACAGCCAAGGGAACTTCGACTTCCCTCACGGGAACCCTTCCGGTGGTGGAGTTGGTGGAGGAGGAGGTGGAGGAGGACCCCCTATGAGTGACTTCATCCATGGCCCCCAACTCTCCCACCCCCCAGATGGACCCGGTGGTCTCCTCTCCCAGGACAAGCCCCTTAACCACGGCATGAATGATGCAGTAAGTAGGGTCGACTTCCAGGGCTGCTTGCTTTCCCATGCCACTATACCAATAAAGTATGTTCATAGGAATAGAAAATGGTTTGGTCTGGCTTTTAAGCTTCAAGGCTCTTAATTAGTTATTTTGTCCTGTGGCATAATTTGGTACCTTAGTTTATAGAAGAAAATCTCCAGACAATCTGTGCCACTCTGAAATAAGAGATTTGTTATCTGAACAAGGTGCAGCCTGTGCCTCTGGCCAGCATGTGTGCTCAGTCATGCTCACATGCTCATGTCATCGTATAATGTTGCAGCTGTACATGTCTGCTGATCACAGCTTCCATTTAGAAGGTCTGTTCCATATTATTCACGCTGGAACTCATTTCGCTTTTCCTCTCTTTCTTCCCACGCAACCCCCCTCCCCGCCCCTTAACACTCCCCCCTTCACTCTCTCTGTGTGTCTCTCTCTCTATGTCCTGCTCTTTATTTTTCACACTCTCTGGCTCTCTGTCTCCCTCTTGCACCTGCAGATGTCCCATCCCGATCAGTCCCATAACTCCATGCAGCAGATCTTGCATGCGTCTCCCCACCCCGGCAGCCAAACAGGGCTGCCCTTACATCACAGTGGCCAGTCAGGGCCACCCTTGCACCACAGCGGCCAATCATCGCAGCCGCCTCGCCAGTCGCAGCCTCAGCCGCAGCCTCAGCAGCCTGGGCAGAACAGTCACCCCCACAGCGATCTGAACTTTAACCCCTCCTCCTCAGACGGGCAGATGGGTCAGGGAGCCCAGGATATGCCTGAACCCTCCCTGGATGTAAGTGTGCCCGCTTTTGGGCACCATAAGCTACCTGTTAACAGCTAACATTGTCTGCTGCAGCTGCCCTCATCTCTTTGCTGTGTGCTCTGTTTGTGTCTGACTTTCAAATTGCTTCTGAGCAGTGGTAGCTGTGTTTATGTGTACACTGGCTTTGACAAGACACTTGAGCATGACTCAAAGTCGTCCGGCATCACATAGATAAATATATTATCAGGTTATTTAGCCTTGCCTCTGATCATTTCTTTCTGCCTTTTATCCGCAGTTGCTTCCGGAGCTGGCCAACCCAGACGAGTTACTATCATACCTTGACCCCCCCGACCTTCCCGCCAACAGCAATGACGACCTTCTCTCCCTCTTCGAGAACAACTAGCCCTTCGCCTCCCATACAAATGCTCCTGCACCTACGGGGTTCGTGATGTGTTTGACTGTCCGTCCACAGACACCTTACTGAGCTCCTATCAACACTTCGAGCAGCTTCCTATGCTCACACACGCACACATGTACACAGTCTCTAAACAGATAATGTGTGGCATAGGAGCGTGGCTGAAAAGAGGCGCCTGTTTGGGAACTCCAAGGGAGAAAGCAGGAACGCCACTCATGCCTGCACCCTGTTTTTTTTCCACGTGTAAAGATTCCACGCACCAGTTCCACCGCCTGACTTGAAACACACCATTTTCAGCCATGTTGGCGGGCACTAAAGTGATATTATATATATACATATATGATATTTGTGACTTTTCAACTGAAAACTGTGCAGCTATAATCATCATGTGTAAACAACACAGGGGAGAGACAGAAGTGTTGTAGCTTTCTTTTTTTTTTTTTTTTTAATTTTCCTTTTGTGAAAAAAAAAGCATTGTCTTGTAAGAGTGTTTTTAACCTATTTGAAATGTGTTCTTCCAAAACTTTGGCACATGCCATGCCCTTTGACCCCCAGACTTTTGTGTGCACGTGTGAGTGTGTGTGTTTGTGTGTGACAGTTGAATAACTGGAACTCATGAGAATCAGAGCACTGAAAGGACGAGCTAAAACGTCCTCCAGTGTCAACAGAGGAAATGAGAGCACATTGTGCAATGTAGTGTGTGTGTCAGTGGGTGTATATACCTATTGTATGTATGTGTGTGTGTGTGTGTGTGTATGTTTACATGTCCTCTTTTGTTTGCCTGCGAGTGTATGTGGAAGACAGCGGGGAGAGAAAGTCTGAGGCAGAGGAGGAAAGAAATCTATTGAATGGAAGAAAGCGAACACAGTCCACTTTAAGAGCTGACTCAGTTCTTCTTCTCCAGCCAGTCTGCAGTTGTTCTTGTGTATTTATTGTAATGTTTCGCTCTTCCTCATCAAATTCAGCACCATTTGTTCACAAGTGCATGTGTGCCAATGGCTCCTGTTGTCTTTGTCCAGCCTAAACGTGCTTGATCAAAACATTTTCTCTCATCTTTATATTTATTATTTTATTTCAAATTCATCAGTTTTTTTTATTATTGATGTCCTTTTTTATGTTTGTCTCACATTGAAATTAATCAGATACACATCACCAAAGTTGTCCTATGCTTTTCTAAGGTGTTGGGCCTGGATATGTTATGTTGGTGTAAGAGCAGGATTTCAATATCCTACAGACGTCTACAGAAGTTTTTAAATCACTGTATTTTATAGAAACGTCTGTGTGATTGTACTGATCTTTCCTTTTGTCGTTTTGTTACTGTTGAACTGCATCTTTTTTGGGGAAAAACATCCTGCATGATCCAACAGTGTTTCCAGAGCTGTTGTATATACCCTTTGTGAATACTTTGTGACTGTACAGTACTGTACCTATCTATTACTGGCAACTACATGGTACTGTAATGTCTGTCAAGGACTACACACACTCACGCACTCACAAACACACACAGAATCCCTTATAACCAGTCCAATATTGTAATGAATTGATCCAAATGCACTCTCACTGGCCTTGTAATGAGTACCTGTGTATTGTGTACAGTTTTTCCATTACCCTCTGACAATGCATCAGTGGAAAGGAATATTTGCTTTGCTCTGAGAGGATTTGTTTTATCCTCTTATTTATATATATATATATATAGTATATAATATATATATTATATATACTGTATATATATATATATATATATATCAGTCAGCTTTAAATTAGCAGTTTTTTCTGTCTAAAAGATTGTTAATGCAGCTTAGAGGTCTAAATTCCTCCAAAAGTGATTTGTTTAATATTATTGGAACAAGTGACCTCATCCTCTTTATTTAAAGTGAGAATGTGCAAAATGTCTTCTGGATTGTTTTGAGGCCTAATAATGAGCTTTTTGATAACCATACTTAGCAAAAATGTGTGAACATGATTTGTGTATTTTCATCACAATTTATGTTGTTTTAAGTTATTATTTTTGTCCCGTGTTTTTATGACAGGTATAATTTGGTTTACAGTTTTATGCAGTACAGTCAATGGATTTAAAAGTATACTGTATGTTGTTGTATAAAAGTTCCCCCCATTTGAGATTCATAATCCATCTGAAAAACCAAATATGGCTTGACTGATCTTCAAAATTGATCACATCACCTGCATATAACACAGTTGAAGGATCAGATGTTGTTTGTGTTCGTCTATATGTTTGTTAAAGACAATGCACTGCCGCAGTGGGATGTTTTATTTCCCTACACAGTGTGTAACTGTAAGTGTGACCTTTCACAAATTCAAGTCTTGTAATTTGAGCGACACAAATTGTACTGTCTGATTGCAGACGTTGGAAATTTGAGTTGAAATTTAAAAGCGAATGCAATTATTGTAAAATGAAATTTGGGGGAGACCCCCCCACATTTGCATTACAAGGGGAGGTTGTGGCAGAGGGTTGGGGGTGGGGTGGAGTGGGGTATGTAAGGGATATGTGTATATAATGTAAATGACAAATAGAGACACGTTAACAGAAATGTATTCATTTTCTCCAGGGGGAGTGTGCATAGTGTATTTAGAAATTTGTAAAGCTTCCATCCTCCTGTCAGACATTGAATTGGCAAAATGAGTCTGTGTTTGATTGCGTCTGTGCAGACCTCTCTAACCACGCCTGTTCATTTATGTAAGATACTTTATGTGCCCCTCCACGTGGGGTTTCCAAGAAAAAAAGAAATTTTTCCTTTGTGTAATATTAAATTTCTGTGTATTTCTCTATTACCTGTGTACTTTATAAAGGTGCTACAAAATTATTAAAACCTTTTGAGGTATAATTGGGACTTGGAGACATTGAGCTTGAGTGGCTCTTAAGGGTTGTTTCCAAATTTACAGTTTGTAAAAAATTTTGTCAAATTTATAATTTTTATGCAATTTGGCAAGAAATGCTATAAAGGTACAATCTGAAGTGATTGGCACAACAAGTGGCAGTTGTCTCTTTGGTTTTGTACATTCTATGTACAATCATTTCATATTCTAAACTGGTCAGAAAAACATTGTGATTTTTAGTCTTGCAAATCTGTATGTAGTTAGATGACGTGACATCCTAATATTTATCTAATAAATATGTATTCAGATGAAACACAATTAATGGCCTCTGTGTCTTTTGACATACAAAGTGCAACCAGCATGTATTACATAAATCAAAAGGACGGTAATTTTGTGCTGCACAATCCGATATCTTCAATGATAAACTACATAGAATGAAGCTGGAATGGCACAGAATAACCAATAGGTCATTTTCATGGAAGACATTTTGACATGTCACAGTAGTAAAAGCTTAGTTGTGTGTAATAACATTAACAATGGCTGAATTCCATTCAGCTGCTTTGGATTGAGAGTCCTGGTATTGTGCATGCTGGCATTGTTAATGTTATTAGTAACAACTGTGACAGGTCAAAATGTCTGCTGTGAAAGAGGTCTTATTTAACCATTTTATTATTTAATTCACAAGGTTTTAGTAAAAAGGGTATTGTTAAATCTAGAAAAGCAAAAATTCATCTAATATCCTGTAAGCTGAAATCAATACAGAAAGCATGTCGATTTATTAAAAGACTGTAGCAAATAATCAACAGCTACCAGGCAAACAAACCATACGGCTACGGCTGATTCAGTGTACCTGAGATCACAATACTGACACCGATAATGTCGATGACCAAATTCCCTCTTGGTTAAAACTTTTGCAACACCTGGTGATGATCCGTGAAAATATCATTGATATTTGCCTTATAATTATACCCCTCATTGTGGTTAAGAAATATTAAAAAGCATCATGCATTTGCAGTTTTAAAGGCATCACTGTTTGTCAAATTATGTTTGGAGTTAAATTTGTGAACTGATTATTATGAACAGAATTATTAATGTCATCATGCCTCTCCTGTAGTGATATATAGTTTCACATACAGTATGACCACTAAAGTTGATAAAACGTCAGACAAACCATTGCCAATCCTGTACCTGAATATACACGAAGGCACTGTAGCACAGCCCTTCGGGGTCAAATGAGTATTTGTTTAAAAGCTGAGCTGTTTTTCATCACAGCGAGCCGTTGAAAGCGATGCAAATTGCACTAATGCAAATGATATCAGAATGGAAAAGCTACTTTTATGGAGCCCAGCACTGACAGAGACGAGCATAACGTCAGTCCAATAGCCTAGTACTGAACAGTAGAGTACATCTCAAAAACAGTCACAGCAAAATATTGCATTTTTTCCTCTTTATAGATTTGAATTGCTTCATTTTTTCATAAAAACGCCAGTTTGAGAAAGAAAATAAATAACTCATACAAGTTTAAGCATAACATCAAATCTGTCCATCCTGGATGGAGTTGCTTAGTTGCCATGGTGATGGTTAAGGCGCCGTAAAGAGATGAACTCAAAGCAAAGTGGACCTTTATATGAGGATCTTTATTTATTTAACTCTCTCTCAAGCTGTGTTTCACTTCCTGAGCCGCCCACGTGGTGTCGCTGTACGACTGTCGCTCGGTCCCTGTGACGTCACACGTAAACACCAGCAGCGCCCATGGCCTTACAGTAGCCCCCCCCTCCCTCCCTCCCTCACCCTCCACCCCCCACCCTGTCGGCTGAGCAGCGATGTTACAAATAAAGAAACGCATCAGGTACAGCCCCCCCGGCATCGCCGCTGCGAGGCTGTTCTCTCCAGGCCCCGCCAAGAACCCCGTCGTGTTCCTGGACGTCGAGGCCGACAGTGAGCCTCTGGGAAGAATCACTATCGAGGTAGCGAGCTGGCTGGCTAACGTTAGCTAGCGTTAGCCTCAGCTGCACTCAGATGTGTTCACATAAAGGCTCTGTGCAGCGTTGTCAGCCGTGCATTAATCTCAATGTGATTTGTGTTATCTTACAGTTGAATGCAGATGTAGTGCCAAAGACCGCAGGTATGTTTAGTCGTGCTCCTCAGCAAGAGTTGCGTTTGTTTCAGTCGCTGTCTGGAGAAGTGTTTATCTGTAGGCTACTTGTTGTAATATTAATAAGCAAGACTCGTTTCACAGAAAACTTCAAAGCACTGTGCACTGGCGAACACGGCTTCGGATACAAGGGATGTGGGTTTCACAGGGTCATACCTGAGTTCATGTGTCAGGTGAGCTTTACGATGAAGGTGGTGCACATAAGGGGCAAAGTGTGTGCCATGTTCACTGTTACTGTGTTTTCTGTTACAGGGGGGAGATTTCACCGACCACAACGGCACAGGAGGGAAATCTATATACGGGAAGACGTTCAAAGATGAAAACTTCAAATTAAAACACACTGGTCCAGGTACATCTCCTCACCTAATACGTTTATGGAAGACTACTTTATCTTTGTTTAGAGGACAAAACAAACAACCTTTTATTCAAACATATCATCATTTCACATATAGCCATTCTGTTTTGGACTATAGGCTGTTGAAAGTGTGAAGTGAAGTGGCAGAGTTAAAAAAAACAGACAGAAAGGGGAATCAACAATTTTGATAATGAACAAATAATTCAGCTACTTTTTTACATTATGAAGACTGAAGGCCTAATAACTCAAAAAAGTAATCACAAATGAATCAGTGAAGGAAGAAATTATAAATTGCAACTCTTGTGTATATTTTGATATACATGTCTCTTCCATTCCTAACAGAATAATCTGCCAGGTTTTTGTCTGTATCCTAATACAGCTGCCTTTCCACTAGATGGCAGTGCCTAATTTCGTGCCGCACTAAAAACCCACCTCCTATATGGATTTTGCAATCCCCAGGTGAATGACCTACTTTTTTTAAGTGAGACAACATGCACTAATCCAAATAACTCCTCCCTTGAATAAACTTCACCCACATGCTGATTATTTGGTGCTTCGTTTCAGAGCGTTGCATAATCACAGTTTGCGTCAGTTTCAGAGAAGAGTAACGGGCCTTCCCCAAGACAGTTGTTCACTCGAGTCATGCTTCTCTTTTGCCAGTCAGGCCAAAATGTTATTGGCTCAGTGGTAAAAAAAAAAAAAAAAGAGGTCAAGATGTTGTTGACTGCATGACATTTAATTGATTTACTTGTTGGCTTCTTGATTTCTGCAGGAACACTTTCAATGGCGAATTCAGGGCGGAACACCAACGGCTCCCAGTTTTTCATCTCCACGATTAAAACTGAATGGTAAGTACTTTGTAGAACTTTCTAACCAGTCTTCTCAGCTCATAGTCTCACCACGTCCAAATCGGAATCACTCACCTGTTGCTGAAGTCCCTTTTTGTCTCTCTTTTGAAAGGCTTGATGGGAAACACGTGGTGTTCGGGCAGGTGAAGGAAGGTATGGATGTGGTCACCAAGATGGAATCTTTTGGTTTACATGACGGCGGTGTGATCAAGAAAATTGTCATCACTGACTGTGGGGAGATCAAATAACACCTAAGTTCACACGTGGACTTCTGTCGGATGACTCAGTATGCAGCGATTTAGTATTTACTTTATCCTCCATCCCATTTTCATGATACGTTGAAGGAGGAACTGTCACAAGTGGTTCTGTTCTACCCTAAAATCTTATATTTCTACTGTTAATTATGAAGTAAAAAAGATGCATATATTTATCATTTCAGGCTTAAAATCAGGTATGAAACGTTTGTTTTTGTTTGCTTATA